TGTGTACAGGTGCGTCTAAAAGAATAACACCTGCTTTGCATTCCTGTGTTCATAAGTCTCATTGAAAATAATTATGGAAAGTTTTTCAGTCATAATCAGCATGGACCCTGCTGAAAAAACAATAGAACCATCACAGAAAATTCTAATGGCTTCCACTACAAATACCATTACAAAGCATCAACTTTTAACCATTAAAACCATTATAAAATGGTTTTCTGTAGTGTGTTTTGGGACATGTTCCATTAGGATTTATTGGTTTTAACCATAGGTTTTAACAAACCCTCTAATAGAAGGCAACCAGTTACCAGCAGAGACCCACAGGCATCATTACAGCTTCCATTAAAACCAATACAAGCCCCATTATAACCAGTACAACCATTAGAAATGTTGTGATGGTGTCTATTCTTGAAACGATATATGAAGACTGGCACTTCTCAATCTTATTTGTTTTACATTAGAAGGGATTTGAAATATGTATTTTATTAATGTTGATGTGTGTATGTGAAAATATTTTAATATTGTATTTTTATGGTATCTGTCACTGTATAAAGAGTGTAAAGAGCATCGACTCTGTTATTACCGGGCAGGACATACGTATCGCTTTTTATCTTTCCGCTTCTGTTTCAGTTTTTTATAATCTAGTTCTTACTGTGTGTCAGTAAGTTGTTGTTATTTCAGCATGTGTGTTTGCCTCAGTCTTCTTTTTTTAGGATTACTGATAAACTAATGTACTTTGATTTGTATTAGTTATCTATTTTAGTTTTAGTTACAGTTGTAGTCATGTTGTCATTTTATTAGTTTTTTATTATGTCTATATAGGCTTTTTATTAAGTTTTACTTTGATTTATTTTGAGTTATTTCAGTACTTCAACATACAAAATGGAAATGAATATATATATATATATATATTTAATGTATTTATATATATGCACATGTATATGTGTGTGGCTGTACATATGTAGTTGTTTTTTGGTGTTTGGCTTAGTGTTATGTTAGAATCATTATTATACTCATACCTTTTGTTCTTTTAATATTTTTGAATTGTTTTTAGCTTTATTATTTTTTTGTTTTAATTTAAACGTTTTAGTTTTGAAATATTGTTGTACGCATTTGTCATTTTTATTTAATGTAATACCATTAAAAACGTATGCAACTAAACTCCAAAATGTATATAATTCACATTCATTCACATGTAATTGTTTGATGATTGTTTTTTTTAAGCGTGCTCCCCGTCGCCAGGTGGCGCTGAGCGCGGATGAAGCGCCGTGACGCACATGAGAGACGCATGGACGCTCACTGACGTAAAAGCGGTGCTGCATGTGGCAGAAGGATCAGACCGTCATTAAACTCTCTAGTTTACGCATATATCACTATATTAATATTTATTCCGTTGTAATCCCAGGCTGACTGCGTGAACGCTCCGCAGTCATGGTGAAGGAGCAGTTCAGAGAGACGGATGTGGCCAAAAAGATGTAAGTTGGAGTCTTGCATGCTGGGTAAACATGTTTCATCAGAACTTGACACACACATATGCTAGCCTATCTATCTGTCTAGCTGACTAGCTGACCGTGCATGTGTGCATATATGACTGTGTTCATGCATGTAAATGTGTGTATATGTGACTGTGTTCATGCATGTAAAAGCTGTACTGATTTATTTACTTCTTGCCAAACTTGCTTGGTGAGCTCTGATGTCTGTTTCTCTTGTTTTGATCAGAAGTCACATCTGTTTTGGCATGAAGTCAGCAGAGCAGATGAGACAACAGGCTCATATTCAGGTGGTCAGCAAGAACCTGTACAGCCAGGACACCAGCCACACACCGCTGCAGTACGGAGTCCTGGACCACCGCATGGTGAGTCTGAGCTAATGTGAATGCTGCATTCATAATAACACAGAAAATGACTTGTGAAGTGATTAAGAGAGGCCTAATCATCTCTGTGGTGTTCAGGGGACCAGCGAGAAGGACAGACCGTGTGAGACCTGCGGGAAGAGCCTGGCCGACTGTCTCGGTCACTACGGCTATCTGGACCTGGAGCTGCCCTGCTTTCATGTCGGATACTTCAAAGCCATTATTGGGATCCTGCAGGCGAGTACAGAACGTGTCAGAACCGTGTTTCGCAGCAGAGTTGCTGTCAGGGTCAATATAGCATTTATATTGAAGTATGGACCAGATCTTTGTTTTATATTAATATGCTATATTACATAGTTCTATTCATAAAATTAGGATTTATATATTTTAATGAATTGAATTGTCGTAATGTAATATATAAACGTAATGTGTGAATAATATAAGATTCTTTAATAACCTGAAATGTAATAATAATAATATATAATACAGTATCGTAATGTAAAATTAATATTTATATATAAATGTTATTTTTTAATAAATTTGATTATTTTTATATTTATTTTGTATTGTATTTTATATTAATATTTTATGAAATATATGTGTTTTATATTTTATTTTATATTAAATGCTGTTATTATTAATATTGCTATATATTATTATTATTGTTATTATATTAAATGCCACAACAACTAGAATAATAATAATAATACAATATAAATCATAAGAATATAAATATTTTATCAAATTATATAATTAAAATAATAATTAAATATCAAATAATTAAATATTTAATCATTTAAACTGTTGTTATTTTATATTATAGATTTATAATCATATGAATATAGTGCTATTAAAATAAATTTATATTTTATATTAAATGCTATTATTATTAATATCGCTGTATAATAATATTATTATTATTATATTAAACGCCACAAAAACTAGAATAATAATAATAATACAATATAAATCATAAGAATATAAATATTTTATCAAATTATATAATTAAAATAATTAATAATTAAATATCAAATTATTACATTTAATCATTTAAACTGTGTTATGTTATATTATAGATTTATAATCATATGAATATAGTGCTATAAAAATACAACTATATTTTTTCTCAGATTGTTATTATGTATTTCTGTCATGGTATATGTTGTATTCTTTTAATACCGTATACATCCTTATAAATATAATATACTGATTTTGTATTATATTATTAGTAATGTACTTTAAAATATAGTTTTTGGGTTGTTTTATGTTACTGACTTAATTATATTTGTACAATGTGTACAAAAATTGTATTTGTGTTTATATTTTTGTTCATTCAGATGATCTGTAAGACGTGTTCTCACATCCTTCTCAGCAAAGAGGAAAAGCTTCAGTTTCTGGATTTCTTGCGTAGACCTGGGTCTATATAGGCTTTTTATTAAGTTTTACTTTTATTTATTTTGAGTTATTTCAGTACTTCAACATACAAAATGGAAATGAATATATATATATATATATATTTAATGTATTTATATATATGCACATGTATATGTGTGTGGCTGTACATATGTAGTTGTTTTTTGGTGTTTGGCTTAGTGTTATGTTAGAATCATTATTATACTCATACCTTTTGTTCTTTTAATATTTTTGAATTGTTTTTAGCTTTATTATTTTTTTGTTTTAATTTAAACGTTTTAGTTTTGAAATATTGTTGTACGCATTTGTCATTTTTATTTAATGTAATACCATTAAAAACGTATGCAACTAAACTCCAAAATGTATATAATTCACATTCATTCACATGTAATTGTTTGATGATTGTTTTTTTTAAGCGTGCTCCCCGTCGCCAGGTGGCGCTGAGCGCGGATGAAGCGCCGTGACGCACATGAGAGACGCATGGACGCTCACTGACGTAAAAGCGGTGCTGCATGTGGCAGAAGGATCAGACCGTCATTAAACTCTCTAGTTTACGCATATATCACTATATTAATATTTATTCCGTTGTAATCCCAGGCTGACTGCGTGAACGCTCCGCAGTCATGGTGAAGGAGCAGTTCAGAGAGACGGATGTGGCCAAAAAGATGTAAGTTGGAGTCTTGCATGCTGGGTAAACATGTTTCATCAGAACTTGACACACACATATGCTAGCCTATCTATCTGTCTAGCTGACTAGCTGACCGTGCATGTGTGCATATATGACTGTGTTCATGCATGTAAATGTGTGTATATGTGACTGTGTTCATGCATGTAAAAGCTGTACTGATTTATTTACTTCTTGCCAAACTTGCTTGGTGAGCTCTGATGTCTGTTTCTCTTGTTTTGATCAGAAGTCACATCTGTTTTGGCATGAAGTCAGCAGAGCAGATGAGACAACAGGCTCATATTCAGGTGGTCAGCAAGAACCTGTACAGCCAGGACACCAGCCACACACCGCTGCAGTACGGAGTCCTGGACCACCGCATGGTGAGTCTGAGCTAATGTGAATGCTGCATTCATAATAACACAGAAAATGACTTGTGAAGTGATTAAGAGAGGCCTAATCATCTCTGTGGTGTTCAGGGGACCAGCGAGAAGGACAGACCGTGTGAGACCTGCGGGAAGAGCCTGGCCGACTGTCTCGGTCACTACGGCTATCTGGACCTGGAGCTGCCCTGCTTTCATGTCGGATACTTCAAAGCCATTATTGGGATCCTGCAGGCGAGTACAGAACGTGTCAGAACCGTGTTTCGCAGCAGAGTTGCTGTCAGGGTCAATATAGCATTTATATTGAAGTATGGACCAGATCTTTGTTTTATATTAATATGCTATATTACATAGTTCTATTCATAAAATTAGGATTTATATATTTTAATGAATTGAATTGTCGTAATGTAATATATAAACGTAATGTGTGAATAATATAAGATTCTTTAATAACCTGAAATGTAATAATAATAATATATAATACAGTATCGTAATGTAAAATTAATATTTATATATAAATGTTATTTTTTAATAAATTTGATTATTTTTATATTTATTTTGTATTGTATTTTATATTAATATTTTATGAAATATATGTGTTTTATATTTTATTTTATATTAAATGCTGTTATTATTAATATTGCTATATATTATTATTATTGTTATTATATTAAATGCCACAACAACTAGAATAATAATAATAATACAATATAAATCATAAGAATATAAATATTTTATCAAATTATATAATTAAAATAATTAAATATCAAATAATTAAATATTTAATCATTTAAACTGTTGTGTTATTTTATATTATAGATTTATAATATGAATATAGTGCTATTAAAATAAATTTATATTTTATATTAAATGCTATTATTATTAATATCGCTGTATAATAATATTATTATTATATTAAACGCCACAAAAACTAGAATAATAATAATAATAATACAATATAAATCATAAGAATATAAATATTTTATCAATTTATATAATTAAAATAATAATTAAATATCAAATAATTAAATATTTAATCATTTAAACTGTTGTTATTTTATATTATAGATTTATAATCATATGAATATAGTGCTATTAAAATAAATTTATATTTTATATTAAATGCTATTATTATTAATATCGCTGTATAATAATATTATTATTATATTAAACGCCACAAAAACTAGAATAATAATAATAATAATACAATATAAATCATAAGAATATAAATATTTTATCAAATTATATAATTAAAAAAATTAATAATTAAATATCAAATTATTACATTTAATCATTTAAACTGTTATGTTATATTATAGATTTATAATCATATGAATATAGTGCTATAAAAATACAACTATATTTTTTCTCAGATTGTTATTATGTATTTCTGTCATGGTATATGTTGTATTCTTTTAATACCGTATACATCCTTATAAATATAATATACTGATTTTGTATTATATTATTAGTAATGTACTTTAAAATATAGTTTTTGGGTTGTTTTATGTTACTGACTTAATTATATTTGTACAATGTGTACAAAAATTGTATTTGTGTTTATATTTTTGTTCATTCAGATGATCTGTAAGACGTGTTCTCACATCCTTCTCAGCAAAGAGGAAAAGCTTCAGTTTCTGGATTTCTTGCGTAGACCTGGACTGGCGTACCTGCAGAAGCGCGGCCTCAAGAAGAAGATCTCCGACAAATGCAGGAAGAAGACCAAGTGTGTGCATTGCAACGCATTTAATGGTAAAACAACGGATGGATGCATACCGCATTGATTATTTATTATTATAATGTGACGAAAGTTGCAGTAGCTTGAATTAGTAAATGGCTCATGTCTCTTCAGGCCCTGTGAAGAAATGTGGCTTGCTGAAGATCATTCATGAGAAGTACAAGACCACAAAGAAGGTCGTCGATCCCATGGTGTCAGATTTCCTCCAGTCGTTTGATATCGCCATCGAGCACAATAAAGAAGTGGAGTCACTACTGACCAGAGCACAGGTTAATATCCACCAATCAGAGCACTGCTGGTGAAATAGTGGTTTCTATGACTCACCCTTATCTGATATAACTTAAATGTGACATATTATGCCCTTTTTACAATATGTACTATAAGTTCCTGGTGTCCCCAGAGTGTGTCTGTGAAGTTTCAGCTCAAAATACTGAAAATGCCTATTTTGAGTGGAAGCAGAAACACGCTGTTTTTCGGGTCTGTGTCTTTAAATGCAAATGAGCTGCTGCTCCCCGCCCCCTTTTCCAGAATAGAGCTGCGCCTTTACAGCTCGGACCTGCTAAAAACATCTGTTTTGGTTCTGATTATCATGTTTATCGTGCTGAAATCGTGCGTTTTAAACCATATTAGTTTAAACTTCTGATATAGGGTTTTCTGAGCGCTCACATCCGATGCACACGCACAGAAAGCGGCTGTCACAGCATGTGAGAACTAAACTAAGCTCTCATTCACACACTTTACGTTAAAAACACAGATGAGTTACAAAAACAGTGGGTTATGTCTGTGAAGGTAAACAGCTGGGAAATAAATCGCAGGTTTATTTTAGATCTGTGTGGCAGCAGCAATATACAGTAAATAAATCAATAAATGCACTGCTCTGTCGTCTCGTCTGAGGCTGGGACTCTAAACAGTGTTCTGTGCTCGTCTCTGCAGACAAACACAGAACAGTTAGCATGCTTCGCTCAGACTTTCATCATGGCATTAGAGCTGCTGCACCGTTGTCGCTTGCGAAATCAAATGACGGCGCCGTGGGTGGAAACTCACAGATTAAGGGGCGGTAATATTATAATGAGATCCCTTTGCCACGTCACCAAGCGAGCGAAATCAGACGCGCTCGTTTTCTCAGACGCTTGCAGAAAAAGGCTTACCAAAAACAAAGTGACTGGGTTAATCTTTTTCACGTTTGCTTGGTTGGTAGATGCCCCGGGGACCTGATTATAGCACTTACACCCTGGAAAAGTCAGATTTTCATGATATGTCACCTTTAAGGTTTGTGAATTTCCTCTTCCCTTGCCATCCAGGAAAACCTCAATCCTCTGGTCGTGTTGAATGTTTTCCGGAGGATTCCGAACGAGGACGTTCCTCTTCTGCTGATGAATCCAGAATCCGGGAAACCCGCTGACCTCATCCTGACACGCCTGTTAGTGCCGCCCCTCTGCATCCGGCCCTCCGTCATCAGCGACCTCAAATCCGGCACCAATGAGGATGATCTGACCATGAAGTTAACGGAAATCATCTTCCTCAACGATGTCATCAAGAAGGTACGCAGGTCACATGATTAGATTGGTTTGAGATGCCAAACGGCAGAGGAAAATCCAGGTTGCAACTAGGGGTTGAACGACTTCTGATTTTTTTTTTTAAAGTCGACTCTTATGTGATGAAAGTCGAGTCGAAGTCGACTAGTCGCTGATGACGTCATTAATGAACAAATAAGTCTGGAGCTGAGACTCGAACACCTTGTGCACAGCTATGGCACATGACACAGCGCTGCCCATTGCTCATATAACGGCTCATTTTTATCAGTTCTTTTGTCAATGGGTCGTAATATTTCTCACAGATTTCTGCTCGTTCTAAATCAGAAACAGATAAAGCAGCACAGTAAAGATTACATTCACATGAATGCATTAGTGAGAGCGATTGCGTGTGTGAATTAATTCTACCTGGCAGCGTCTCTCTACTAGTAGTGAAGCTGTGGGGTTTAGTTATTAAGAAATATATGCTTGAGCTTTTCAGTTTCTAAGCTATTTTATTGAGAAATCACAGAACAGTGTTGACAATAAGCTGTTTAAAACATGCATTCTCCCGTTCAATTTCGAGCATCCAGTAATATAATCACACATGTCTTGTGGAGCGCTTTCAGAGTATGCATTTATTTGTCATTTTAACTGTTCGGAAACAGAGCGTAAATGTGGAAGTCCTTCAAAGATTTCTTAACCTGTTGTGCCCTCTTTAGGACCAGCGACTAGTCGACGTCAAGCTTAAAGTGTCATGGGAGAGCATTGAAGTCGATTAGTCGGTGCAACCCCTAGCTGCTGCAACTAACAATTATTGGAAGGATTAATCATGAGTTGTGTCCGTATAGAAATGAGATTCACTACTGTAAAGTGACATGACTGGCATATGTTTTCTGAGTAGTGTGTTGATGCAATTATTAACCAATAATCAGATTTGCTGTCGATTATTGATTTTGTAATTTAGTTGCAGATCTACTGTGCAAAGCTTTGTTGCCATTAAATTGGCTGCATTTGTGAAAAGTGATCCAATGTATTTTGTATTTACACAAATCTGTCTTTTCCATTCATTTGCAGTTAAATAAAGGCATTTGTAGCTCGCTTTAGATAAAAGCACCTGCTAAGTAATTAAATGATTAATCAAGATATGTAAATATTCAACACAGTTAAAAATATAATTACATTTTATGCTATTAAATCCAGGTGTAATTTGTCATCTAAAACAAACTTTGTGAACGATAAAGCATTGTTGAGCAAATAAGTCCTCCGAGGCTGTTCGTATGGGAGTCTCTTACTGTTTTGAGTCCCAGGATGGCATCAGTGCGTTGCACTATGAAAACGAGAGACTAAGGACATTTGCATTGTCCTTGTATGTAAATATTTGACCACCCAATATCTTGTTTGACCAATCAGGAGGTTATTAACCCTGTACCGCCTGACAGATGAAATAATAGTCAGAAAACTCTACATTTTTGAACAGCTTATTGAACTTTTAGACTAATTTATTATTTATATACTGACTCAAAATGAGCAAAAATATGCAATTTGGTGCAGATGCTGATATTTATATGGACAAAAAGTGGTGTAATTCTGATGCTTGCAATGTAAATCAACGAGATCTATATAACAGTAGAGCAGATACTCTATATCTTACTCTATATCTCCAGTAATCTGTCTCCGTAAGATGAGAGTGAAATGCTCCAAACATATAATGCAGTGATTGAGAGCTGAAGAAATAAAGGCTCCTCAGAAGATGTGAGATGTTCTGGAGGCTTGTGAAGATCATTCCTCCGCTGAGGAACAGTGAAAGTAAAGCTTCTGGAAACAAACGCTCCTCAAAAGATCCTGAGGATCAGATTTGAGACTCTAAAACGTGATTGATGGAGAATCAAGTAAAGCTGAGCTGCTTCAGTGCAGTAAGTGTTCATCTGGAGATATTACTGCACTTATTCTGATGCTTACTTGAGAAAACCAGTCAAGATTTGACACGAGAAGCTGAAGCTGGACGCTTGTACAGTTACACTAAAAGAGCTTTGACTGGATAAAAAAACTCTAAACTATCAATTAGATGACCGAAGCAATGTAGTAGATTATGTGCGACAGGTTTACCAGCAAAGTTTTGATCTTGTTGATCATTTAGAGGCCTTAAAAATGTGCATATTTAATATGATACAGTAGCTTTATATGTTCATTTGTTTCTCACTGCACGCATGTGTAAATAAAGTGTGGTGTAACTGTCTTTGTGTTCACCCACAGCACCGCATGTCGGGAGCCAAAACGCAGATGATCATGGAGGACTGGGACTTCCTGCAGCTCCAGTGCGCACTCTACATCAACAGCGAGCTGTCGGGCATCCCGCTCAATATGGCACCCAAGAAATGGACCCGCGGCTTCGTGCAAAGACTCAAGGGAAAACAGGGTACGACCTGCTGAGAGCTCAAGGGCTGTGCTTAATAGGGCTGTCAAAATGGCTGAAAAACTCAATTATATTCGAATTTAAAATGCATAATTTCAGTTAGGGTGAAGAAAAGCTTTTGGCTTCTCTCTTCTCTTCTTCTCTCCGAGGCCACAAGAGGGCGCATCGAGCAAAATATTACTAATGCACGTTTATTCAAAGCAATAAAACACGACTATCTGTGAAAAAAGTGCATAATGTTTAAAATAATGTTTATAAACCATATATAATTAATGAAGTTGCTTAAACGACTAACAAAACAGCATCATGTATGTATGCATAGTTTAATACAAAGGGCCGAAAGCCAATCACACCGAGTACATTTTTCGTTTTAAAAACACGAGTTGCAGTGGGACGGGGGAAAACCCCCCGCCATAAGTCTCGAGATATGTTTTTTAAAAGTTGAACTTGCATTAATTTTACATGGGTTTCTAAACATGCTGTTCTTTTGTGCGAGACGCGAGTGCAACGCTGATAGATGTCCCTCTAGAAAATGTGTGAAATATGCGTTCTGTGTGAACGGCTTGGTTTCAGTTTTGACGTAAACAACATCTTCTCTGCATTGATGTTTTCTTTTCACGCAATATATTTAATCTAGTGGCTTCAACTGGGTATGCTAACAAAAACATTATAATGCAACGACACTTTCATCGTCATTGTATCTCGTGCACCGCTGATAAGGCTGACACACCTAAAATTCGAATGCAACGTTTTTGCATTCGAATATGGATTTTTGTTTTAAATTCGACGAATATTCGAAATTTGTTTTGACAGCCCTAGTGCTTAAACGCCAGCTTTTCCCACGAGTCTCTGCAGAAGTGGCAGTGTTATATTGGGCTGTTTTGACATGATGCCTTGTTTTGCTGTTTTCAGGGCGGTTTCGTGGTAACCTGTCTGGAAAGAGAGTGGATTTCTCCGGCAGAACGGTCATCTCTCCCGACCCGAACCTGAGGATCGATGAGGTCGCTGTACCGGTGCACGTCGCCAAAATCCTCACCTACCCAGAGAAGGTCAGAGCGGAAACGTGCTGTGGATCTGCACAAACACTTATTTTCACTAGTCCAACAGCTGGCAGAATAATGTTTACTTTATGTGGGGCCCTAAAAAATCTGTTCAGTTTTTTTCCCACATTCAGTTTCTCCTTTATAGTTTTTCTGGATTCCAGTAAAATACATTTTAATAAACAAAAAGCGTGTCTAGTTAATTGAGCTCATGACTCATGTAGTTTAACACTGTTTATTAAATGATTAACCAAAATTACATTTTTAAATAAATCTTTTTATTTTTTTCCAAATTTTATTTAATTTAATTATTTTTTGTTTCCCCAAGTTCTGTGTTTTCCATTAGCATTTTTAATTAATGGTTTAATTAATTGGTTTAAATGAAAATAGCATATGTTCAATTGAATTTATAAAACTTTATTTGTTTATTTATTTATTTTTACACAATAATGAAATGTTTATTTTTCTGAAATTATATTGTCATCTGTTTGAATTTTTCTAGAATATTTAATGGATTAATTAAATTGTAACTAGTAACAAATATTCAATTTATTTAAATTAATTCTTTATTTATTTACATGCATCCAATAATAGGCCCCTATGAAATGTTTTATTTTTCAGAAGTTCTGTAGTCATTTGTTTTAATTTTTCTCTGTATCATGTAATATAAATGATAATGAAATGTTTATTTTTCTGAAATTATATTGTCATCTGTTTGAATTTTTCTAGAATATTTAATGGATTAATTAAATTGTAACTAGTAACAAATATTCAATTTATTTAAATTTTAATTCTTTATTTATTTACATGCATCCAATAATAGGCCCCTATGAAATGTTTTATTTTTCAGAAGTTCTGTAGTCATTTGTTTTAATTTTTCTCTGTATCATGTAATATAAATTTATTATCAAAATTGGTGGTAATCAAATGAAGGCATAAAACGCTAACCTTTTAATTAATCCTTTAAAATGTAATCAGATGGAAATTTAACACTTCCTTTCTTTTGTGTTATCTCTCAGGTGAATAAAGCCAACATTGAGCTGATGAGGAAGCTGGTGCGTAACGGTCCTGATCTTCACCCAGGAGCTAATTTTATTCAGCAGAGACACATGCAGATGAAGAGGTCAAATACACACTTCTCTATCCTCCCCTTTTACTCTATGTTCAAAAATCAACCAAAAATGAATATTCTGTCATCATTTACTCTCCCTCGTGTCATTGCAAACCAGTTCGACTTGACTTGAGAAGTGGAACACAAAAGCAGATGTTTAGCTGAATGCTCATGCTGCTCTTTAAGACGTGAGGTTGAGTGAATGGCAGTTTTCATTTGTTAATCGTGTGAGTGTCTTGGCTGCGTGTTTCAGGTTTTTGAAGTACGGTAATCGGGAGAAGATGGCTCAGGAGCTGAAGTACGGTGACGTGGTTGAGAGACACATGATCGATGGAGACATCGTTCTGTTCAATCGGCAGCCGTCTCTGCACAAACTCAGCATCATGGCTCATATCGTGAGTTATTTCTCATTTGATCAAAAAAAAAATGGGGATGAAAATATGGAATTACACTACTGAAACAAAGAAAGTGCCTTGCAATATTGATTTTAATCAGTCTTTAATTTGATGAAACGATTATGATTCTTAAATCCTGAAATTGATCTTTGGATGGACAGAAAGTCATTATTTAACAGCTTATAAAAAGTTTGTCACCTCAGGAACAACTTTCAAAGTTCATAAACTTGATAGTCAACTACAAATAAAGCAACTCTAGAAGGGAACATTTTATAAATGTATTCACTTTTTTACATATTCATTATTTTACTTAGCCGGTTGGTGCTGTCTTCATTATTTAATGCATGTTTGCATGAGTCTGTAATGAACGCAGGTTTTTAATTACAGCCACAGCCAGTGTTTAGATGTTTACATTTTAAAAAACTGGAGCAGAAACCAGGGTTATTATAGTAAGCAAACAAACTGAAACCATTAAAAAAAAAAGAAAAAATTATAAAATATTACAAAAACTTGCATTTATTTTAAACTCTACGAGGAAGCATTTATAGTTAAACTTGTATTTGAAATGACTAAAAGTAAAACTGAAATAAAAATAATAACTATACAGACTTAGGGAAAAAAACTCATAAAAATGACAAAAACAACAAAATTACTAAAACTTTAAATAAAAATGAAAAGTGAAACAAATATATAAATGCATAAAAATACAAATATATTTGTTATAATGAATACTATAATAGTATCTCAATTCTAAAGTAAACAATTATGTCTTGTGTGCAATTTAAATGTTGGTATAGAATTTATTTCATTTAAATTTTTTTATTTTGGTTGATTATATCTAAAAATGTTCTGTATGATTTACAATAGCAGTTGAGAAATAGATTTCCTTTATAAAATTAGTTGTGTACTGTACCTAAATCCAGACAAATTGAAATGGGAATGGAAATGAATCAAGAGCTTGTGAATCAGTCAAATGGATTCATGGAATTGGTGTCAGCCTTTATATGAGCGGCCCCTTACTTTATAATTCTCCTGTGTTGTGTTCCAGGCGCGTGTGAAGCCTCATCGGACGTTTCGTTTTAACGAATGTGTTTGCACGCCGTACAACGCTGATTTTGACGGAGACGAGATGAACCTTCACCTGCCGCAGACGGAGGAGGCCAAAGCTGAAGCGCTCGTGCTCATGGGGGTGAGAGAGAGAAACCACATCGATCAGAGCGTCTGAACTGCGTCCGATCATGAAATAAACCCCTCTTCATGTGTTCCTCTCATAGACGAAGGCTAATCTGGTCACTCCGAGAAACGGTGAGCCGCTGATCGCAGCCATTCAGGACTTCCTGACAGGTGAGTGCTGCCTGCGTTTTCCTCAAGAGCCAATCAGAATCCAGCATCTGGTGCTCTCCGTCTCGCCTGTAGATGGCGCCGTTAGACTGCTGTTATTCAGGTGTGTTTTGTGTACCAGGTGCGTACCTGCTCACGCTCAAAGACACGTTCTTCGACCGAACTAAAACCTGTCAGATCGTCGCCTCCATCCTGGTGGGAAAAGATGAGAAAATCAAGATCTCCCTCCCGCCTCCTGCGATTCTGAAGGTGATGAACCTCTCTTTCTCTCGTTCTGTCTGTCGTAATCGATGCTCTATGGGGGGAAATGACAGATTTGCACCTGTAGGTTTTCCGGTGCTGATTCTCTCCTCATAAAGGCTGTCCGGAGTTGTTTCAGACAAAAGAAAAGTTCTTTATTGGAGAGAAAATTTCTGTCTTTGGAGGCTATTTGACGCCTTTCTCTCAGAGTTTTTGGTTTGCTCTGAGTAATAACTGCACTAACAGTAACTTTAGTTGTTAGACAATAAAAAGATGATGCACGTTATTTTTTATACATTTGTGCGCACGTATCTGAAAGTGTAATGCAGTTGAGCTGTGAGTGTGACGTGAGTTTTGTTGTTTTGTTGTAGCCGATCCGGCTGTGGACGGGGAAGCAGATCTTCAGTCTGATACTCAAACCCAGTAAAAGCTGTCCGGTGAAGGCCAACCTTTGAGTAATTTGTGGATTAGTGCGTACTGGAGACGCGGACCGTTTCAAACGATTCAGTTCGATTTGGTGAACTAGTTCGACCGGTTTACTAGGAAGATCCGGTTAAATAGAACGATTCGTTTGTGATCCAGACATCACTAGACGAGACCAAACCAATAAAACCCATTACAAACGAGGCATTTGTTGCATCCAGTGGGGACATAATTTTAGGTAGGCGTGGCTGACTCTTAACTTTTATAAAGAATATCTCTTTGGATTTGAGACTTTAGTCTTTGCAACTTTACAGATCTTCTTTATGCACCAAGAGCTTGTAACACTCCAAAGAGAAAGGAACAATTGAAATCGCATCATATGACCCCTTTAAAAAACTTTGTGAATATCACACAATTTATTTTCCATGTTTTAATTTTAACAGTCTGTTGTTCAGTACTTTTTGTGTGCACAAAAAGAAAATAATTTTATTTTAATAAATATATTTTAAGAGATTCATAACAATTTTAATGATTTATGCCATCGTTTGATTACCACTGTTTTTATAATGAATTTGTTAAACCATTAATCCAGAAAAATGAAAACGGGCATCACAGAATAAATAAATAAAGATAAATTAAATGGAATTTGAAAAAAAATAAACCTAATTTCGTGCCCTAAAAATGTAGTTTTTGTTAAACTTTTAATAAATTCTTGTAAAATTGTATATGTGATTTAAACTAATTAGACTTGATTTTTGATCACAAAATATTAATTTACCATTAAAGCGGAATGCTAAAAAACAAAAAAACAATGCAGAAAGATTAATCAGAAAAAAAACTGAGTGCAGAAAAATTAAACGGAAAAAAACAGAATGCAGAAAAATTAAAAAGAAAAAAAAACAATGCAGAAAAATTAAAAAGAAAAAAAAACAATGCAGAAAAATCGAATGGGAAAAAAAAACAATGCAGAAAAATCGAATGGGAAAAAAAATTAATCCTGAAAAATGTAAATGGAAAAAAAAATAAAAATTTTAAGGGAACTTTAATTAAAACGTGTAGATTTCATAAAAATGTGAAGTTCATGTGTAACCCGTGTGTGTTTCCGTGCAGTTGTGGTGATCCAGAACAGTGAGCTGATGTGTGGCAGTCTGGATAAAGGAACTCTGGGATCCGGATCCAAGAATAACATCTTCTACATCCTGCTGCGAGACTGGGGTCAGCAGGAGGCCGCGGATGCCATGTCACGTCTCGCCCGTCTGGCTCCCGTTTACCTCTGTGAGTGAGTGAGTGCGTGTGTGTGTGTGTGTGTGTGTGTGTGTGTGTGTGTGTGTGAGAGAGTGTGTGTGTGTGTGTCCGTCTCAGGTCTGATTTGTCTGGTTGTGTTTCTTGGTTAAAGTCGTGATGGCTGTGATGTTTTTGTGACTCCTGTGTTGAAGCGAATCGAGGTTTCTCCATTGGGATCGGAGACGTGACGCCTGGACAGGGACTCTTGAAGGCCAAACAGGAACTTCTGGACGCTGGCTATAAGAAATGTGACGAGTATATCGAAGCCCTGAAGACGGGCAGGTTACAGCAGCAGCCGGGCTGCACCGCAGAGGAAACGCTGGAGGTGAGAGAGAGGAAATGTCATTTTTCTTTCATTTTTCACAATTATTAAATCAATAATCAAGCAATTCAAACGAATAATAAAAAGCAATTAAAATGAAGCAATTAATAAAAAATAATAATTGGTTTGTATGATGTATCATTTTGTTTTTGTAATATGTATTTTATTTTTTATAAATTATTAATTTATTGACTTTCATTTATTATTTATTAAATTATTTAATTAATTTCAATCAACATGCTAACAAGTTTTTTTATTTTTTATATTAATTTATTTTAATCTGTACTCAAACCAGGCGTTGATCCTGAAGGAGCTGTCCGTCATCAGAGATCACGCTGGCAGTGCGTGTTTGAGAGAACTGGACAAAAGCAACAGTCCACTGATCATGGCTCTGTGTGGATCCAAAGGTACCATCAGAACCTCCCTAATGGACCTCAGAGTAGATAACAAATGTGACCCTGGAGCACAAAACCAGTCATAAGGGTCCAATTTTAGTTGAATAAATAATTTTCCATTGATGTATGGTTTGTTAGGATAGGACAATATCTGAAAATCTGGAATCTGAGGGTGCAAAAAAATCTAAATATTGAGAAAATCATCTTTAAAGTTGTTCAAATGAAGTTCTTAGCAATGCATATTACTAATCAAACATTAAGTTTTGATATATTTGCGGTAGGAAATTTACATTATCTTTATGTAACATGATCTTTACTTAATATCCTGATGATTTTTGGCATAAAATAAAAATCCATAATTTTGACTCATACAATGTATTGTTGGCTATTGCTACAAATATCCCCCAGCGACTTAAAGGTGCTGTATGTAGGATTGACACCGAGTGGTTGAACTAGGTATTGCAGTCCAAATTCAAAATATTGGAGAGGGTTTTTTCACCCGGCCCCTCCTCCTCAGACTTGACACACACGCAGGTTGCCAGATTGACGACACCAACAGGAACGAGCGCACTTGACGATGAATGAAATTAAATGCGCTGTGTTTTCCGCTAACTGGCAACCCGGGGTGCCGGAATACAATTGGGTAAATAATTGAATAACTGACTGTAGCATTGTTTTTCAGATAAACAAGTGTTAACTTAGCATGTTTCTTAAATGTCTGCAAACATATTATGGTATTTTTATGCTTTAGTAGAGTCAAAAACTTACATACAGCACCTTTAAGACTGCTTTTGTGCTGCAGGGTCACATTTGTAATTTTTATCCCAGTGAATGATTTGATGGACAGACGTCGGCCATTTAATGTGGCATACCTTTCTTAAGGCTTTAGTGTTTGTCAGATTTTTTGTCAGATCTAATAATTTTTGTAAGATGAAAATATTTATACATTAAGTAAATTATATAAATGTATATATTAAATTAATTGAATACTGTCATTAATTTGTTAAGTCATTACAAAATCATACTAATTAGTAATTTAAAAGTTTGTTAAAATGTAAACGTCTCAGAACTGTAATAAATTAAAAAATTTTTTTAATTTATTAGTATTTTGTTTAGTGTTTGTTAGTATTATTTAAAATAGTGGATGTGTGTATATATGACCCTGGGTGTGAAAACCCTGCTAAAGTCATTTTTTTATAACGTAAAAAACGTTCTGTGAAAATGTAACCTTGATATCTTTAATATTGATTAAGTGAGGCCATGTCAGAGATTGAAATCATAGTGAAATTAATGGTTGAAATCAAACTTTGAAGCTTGTTATCTCATAATTAGATTTTCAGACTACCAAAAATGCGACAAGTGAAGTAACCATGAACTCTCCCTCACTGCCTCATTTTCCTTTTGTGTCAGAATAAATAAAGCATCTCCCCTGACTGAAGTCTGTACAGTTACAGTTACAGTGACAGCACGATTTCTCTCGCTAATCAATCAGAAAGTTCAGAATTCATAAAGGAAGCAGTGTGAGTCTGATGATTAACACATGACTCTGAAATCATCTCTGCGTCTCCAGGGTCATTCATTAACATCTCACAGATGATCGCGTGCGTCGGGCAGCAGGCCATCAGCGGCTCTCGTGTTCCCGACGGCTTCGAGAACCGCTCGCTGCCTCACTTCGAAAAGCACTCCAAAGTAAGAACAAAGCACTCGAGTCTGCAGCTTTTCTTTTGGTTGTCCCTTTCTTTCTGTATGCATGACTGTATGCAACTTTTGTCCTCCGTCTGCTGTGAGGATTTCAAATAAATGCTTTTTTAAATAAAAGCAGTCGTCTAGGTGCACAGGAGAGATTAGTAGCTCTCCACTTTTTATTGAGTAGATTTACACTGTTTAATGAGTTTTCCCAAATTTTTAAATAATCAGTTTGTTTGAAATAATACATGCATCCTTATTCAATTGACTGCTTTCCATGATCAAGTCCGAGGTTTATGCACGTTTTGTCCATTTTCATTACAGTCATGTCATTAACTCACAAAAATGAATGGTTTAGCATGCTTTACGGTTCTGTTGGGTTTGTGGAAACGCTTCAGAACTTTAAAAGTTATCTGAGGTTAAAGAAGACCCAGAACAAAGGCTGTGTGGAATAAAAGCATCATGTTTGTGTGATTGTTCTGTTATGTTTCAGCTCCCTGCTGCGAAGGGCTTTGTGGCAGACAGCTTTTATTCTGGTCTGACCCCCAGCGAGTTCTTCTTCCACACTATGGCTGGTAGGGAAGGTCTGGTCGACACAGCCGTAAAAACAGCAGAGACCGGATACATGCAGGTGCGTTTGCCTCCTGAATAATGATGCAGTTAATACAAGTATCAGATTTATGCATGCATGGAAACTTTTTATATTTCAACTCTGTAAAGCCTGACATGTGAAGTGTTAAACGTCAGAAACATTTACATTTGGAGATTAACTTTAGACAAAATATTTTTTGAAATATAAAATATATATAAAATGTTTGCATGTTTTTTTTTTGAGTATCATATTTGATGCATCAGTCTTTTCTGGCTCGTATAGTCTGATATTGTGAGAATATGAAGGGGAAAAAACAGCTCAGTGATGTAAATCAATGAGATCCTAGCAGTATATACTGACATAAAATGATCTAAATATCAGTCATCACTCTATATCTCCAATAATATGTCTTAGTAAGATGAGATTGAAATGATCCAAACATATAATGCAATGCAATCCAATGCTGACAGAGAGATGAAGAAATAACTGCTCCTCAGAAGATCCTGAGGATCAGATTTGAGACTCTAAAACATGATTGATGGAGAATCAAGTAAAGCTGAGCTGCTTCAGTCCAGTAAGTGTTCATCTGGAGATATTACTGACGTTATACTTGACAAAAATACGTCAAGATTTGACCGCAAAAAGACACGTGAAGCACCAGCTGAAGCAAAGAAATTAGCTTATCAAATATGATACAGTACACTGTAAAAAATGATTGTGATTTTAACTGTAAAAGACTAAAAATGCTACAGTAAAAACCTGTTAATTGGTTATCAGTATACTATATACGGTGAATAACTGTAGTTACATTTAATGTAATGTTACAGTAAAATACGTTTTTGGAAGTGAAAAAGTAAGTCATTGTATAATTTACAGTGAAAAACCGTAAATTGACACTCCCAGAATTCCCTGCATGACACTTCATATTTTAAGTTTTTTCGTTGAAATAACTGTTTCTTCTTAGTTTTTTCTTATCAGTTGTGTACATTAGTGTTTTATCTTACATCTAATGTTGTTAAATGAATGTTTACTGCATTATTTCAGTATCATGTGTGTTACCATGATGTGTTTAGTGTTTGTGTGAATGACACTGTGCAGCTTCTATATTATTTTATAGAATATATATATATATATATATATATATTTTACATTTAGTCATTTAGCAGACGCTTTTATCCAAAGCGACTTACAAATGAT